TCCAAAGGACTTCATCAGTCCGAGGAGCCACAACAAACTGAGTCCCACAAGCAGCAAACCCCAATAGTGGACCAACCAGGTTGCTGGTGATAAGATGGTTTGTGGCTCCTCGGACTGATGAAGTCCTTTGGATGAAGGACGAAACATCTCAACAAACAAAGAAACCGTCCAGATGACCTGACTGAACTTTGTTGGATTTCACCTGGATGATTGAGCATGAACTTTGATGTATTGTCCTCTTATTTAGCTACAGTTTTGTTACGTTTAGTCACAGTTTAGCAACTTTTTTGCTATTTTTGGATTTTACCTTTTGTTTTTATCTCAGTACACACACACACACACTGTTCTATACATGTGTTTTCATTAAATTAAAAAAATAAATAAAAACAGAACACTGCACTTGCGAGGTTTTAAAAGTGATAGGTTTAATTCTTGTGAAGAAGCAGCTCTCATGACTGACATTGCTCTTTGGCCAATCGATGCAATCTAACGTCAAACCTGGGATGTTCTCTGTCTGCTGGATCCGGTTCTGGACTGCAGTCTGAGTGCAGCTGCTGTGGTCCCATTACCATTAAGCTGCTGACTGGACCTGCTGAAAAGACCTGCTAAGCTGCTAACAGAACCATAATGCTGAAAGAACCTCACTGCTAACCAAATCACACTGTATGCATTTCTTTTTCAACTTTGGCACCTTGTTTCTAGGATTTTATTTGTATTTTTAGTATGCTTTTAGTATTTTAGTAGTATTTTTAGTATGCTTTAAGTATTTTAGTAGTATTTTTAGTATGCTTTTAGTATTTTAGTAGTATTTTTAGTATGCTTTTAGTATTTTAGTAGTATTTTAGTATGCTTTTAGTATTTTAGTAGTATTTTAGTATGCTTTTAATATTTTAGTAGTATTTTTAGTATGTTTTTAGTATTTTAGTAGTATATTTAGTATGTTTTTAGTATTTTTGCTGCATGCTTTGGGATTTCTTGATGTTTTTTTTTGTTTGTTTGTTTGTTTTTTTGGCAAGTCGAGACAGTTCTTCTCGTCCTAAGCATTTCATTACATTGTTGACCTTGTGTTGATTTTGTATTTGACAAATGAACCTCAGCTCGACTCGACAAAGTGGGTTCTAAGAACCGAGCTGATCCCCCAACAAACAGACTCTGAAGCCGAGCCAGGCACTAAGACCAAAGCAGCACCCATCCAGAAGGAGAAGCAGTTTGGACATGTAGCTAGGCCTGTCATGATAAATTTTGCTGGGCGATTAATTGTCTCAGAAATTATTGCGATAAACGATAATATTTTTTTGAAATTTGACAATAAATAGTAATTATTGTCAAATTTAAGAAGAAATGTTGGTAAATTTTTGTATGTAGTACCTTTTTTGACCACCAGATGGCAGTATAAGACCATTTGAACTGAAGGATGGATAGTGAGGGAGCGAGCAGCGTGTCTCTAAGAAAAAATGGGAGGGAGGCCCCTTGACGTGACATGAGTTGTCTCTCCTTTCTGTTTTTTGTTTCTCAAAATGGCGGACGCTCTGTGAACACTATTTTGGAAAGTTAAAACAAATTTCATAGAGAAAGGGAGGAGTCAGTGAAGAACACCGAAGTTGAGCTTTTTTATCATCCAGTGTCTTCAGTAGAAAGAGAGACACAAAGAAACGATAACGCCAACAAATGAAAATGGGGTCGATAATTTTCATTTATCATGCGATTAATTGATTTATTGTTTATCGCGACGGGCCTACATTGTGGTTAGATGAGTCAGGATCACAAGACCTGGACCTGAACTCCATGAGACTTCAGAGACTCAACAAAGAATTGATTTTAGTGGTGAATATTTACGCGTCTTGTTCCACAACAAAATACGTAAATTGGAAAAGAAACAAAAACCTAAAACAAGGTGGAGGCTTTTGCAACTGACTGAGATGATTTAAAAAAAAATTATTATTATCATTATTCGTTCCTAAATGAGTCATGACAATATGACAAACGAGCCACTTGGCTGTGATGATCGCTCATTCGTATTGTTCTCTGAGATGCCGACTGCGCTGAAGAATTTCTCACTCCAACACACAAACGAACGGGGGGGGGAAAAAACTTTAAAGTAACCATGGCGACAAGAACTATAAAAACAAACAACTTCAAGTAAATCTACCAGCTCCACCTGGCCGTAACCATGGCGCTCCCTCAGGAGGTGGGAGGACCAGCCGCCCAAAAATAAAGTAAAATAAAATCCCCCCATGAGCCGGGTGACTCAGGCGTTAACGGACTCCGCCAAACGTGTTCGCATACTCTGCTGGAAGATGGCAGGATGTCGCCGTTACTAAGGAGATGGAGCACCAAACCTTCTAGAAGAAACACAACGTCTACAGTCTCCAAGCGACCGGGGCCGGGTGAGAATCCGTCTTCTGGAGGCGATCTTTGTGGAAGAACAATCCTCTAAAAAAAAGGTTGTTACACGCCACACAAAAAAAGTTGGGAAATATAATTCGGTCTAAATATAGCAGATCAGAAAAGTCTCAACTGAAACGCCATCTTCAGGTTTGATTGACACTCAGCATCTTGTTGCCTCCTCCCCCCACCCCAGTCCTCAATATATACGGAACAGAAATATAAACGCAACACTTCTGTTTTTGCTCCCATTCTTTCTGAGTTTCCCAAAACTGCACATTTTAGAGTGGCCTTTTATTGTGGTCAGCCCAACACACACCTGGGTAATAATCATGCTGTCTAATCAGCATCTTGATACGCCCACCTGTGAGGTGGATGGATAATCTCCGCAAAGGAGAAGTGCTCACTAACACAGATTTACACTAATTTGTGAACAGTAATTGAGAGGAAAAAGGCTTTTTGTGTTATGATTCACTCATGACCACAGGTGAGGGGTGGAACGAAGACAGACCAGTATATTGATAGTTTTGCCTTTCGACTCAACTTCCTTCATTTAAACCGACCGAAGCAACACTCTCATTACTGATTATGTCAATCCCTGACCCGTCCTACTTGTGAACAAGATATTGGAACTCCAACACTTGAAGCTAAGTCTCCCCCGACCCGGAGGGGGCAGTCCATCCATGTCCAGTCTAGAGCCATGGCCTCAGACTAAGAGGAGCGGACTCATCCAGGGGCGATTCTAGGAGCTGACCTTTTGGGGTGCTTAGCCCCCAGTGCTGACAGTGGACAACACACCCCATGGTGCGGTTTGTGAGAAATGCACAAGTTAGTCTCCCATCCAAGCACTAACCAGACCCTACCATGCTCAGCTTCCGAGATCAGGCGTGTTCAGGGTGGTGCGGCCGTAAACGAGATCTGTCACAAATAACTGTAATTTAACTATTAACCTCTCACTGCAAAGTTTAGTGATGCCAAACCCCGACAATATAGTCAGAGGAAAAGTGGGTGGAGCTCCTGCAGATAAAGGGCAGGTAATGAGACGAATTGAGGCTGCTGATTGGTCAGTTGCTGACGAGCCTCCTGGATTGATTGACAGGTGGCGTTGAGGCTGCGACTCGTGCAAAAAATTATAATTTAAAAAAAAATCTGATTTTACTAACCCGTTTAAGAGTGTCATCATTTATTCCATATTAATTTCAAATTGATTCAATGTTTTGGTGAATCGAACGTTTGAGAACGGAGTTTCTTCACAACATCCTAATGATGGTTTAATTTTTCAGGGGTGCAGAGTTAAAATTTAGGGGTGCTTGATCACCCCCAAAAAGAGGCTAAAATCGCCACTGCTCTCATCCCAGCCGCTTCACATTGGGAACCACCCCAGTGTACGCTGAACCTGGCCTGAAGACCCCAACAGAACCACATCATCTGCATAAAACGGACGCCCTGCGGTTCCCAAACCAGACTCCCTCCTCTCCACGACTGCACCGTGTGCATCATTTTAAACGTGGTCAAAAACTTCTGGGACTGGTGCACCCCTTATATACAGCCTCCCTGGTTGTCAAGGTCTAAGAACAGGTTCTTTAAGGTTTATTAATTGGAATTTTGATACTCCTAACAGTTTCTACACCCTTAAATTATTGCTCATCAGATTTTTCATACGCCTCGACTGTTTGCAACGGAATATGGCGTTCATTTATAGAAATTCCGTTATAGTTGAGAATATCTCAGCACAGCTCGTATATAATTTAGCTTCAACTTTATGTTTAACGCTCTCACCCCCCTTTAGTCACCTCTTCCATTTGAGAAGAGAAATATCCGTCAAACTCGTCAACGTTGGAGTGTAAACAAACGACTCATAATTGTTGGCAACAAAAGCTAACTCTGCTCATTTGTCCCACTTATTACAAATTATGCAATATAACTTTTAGTAATGAATTATAATAATAGCATATTTAATAGTTAATGTGACGTTTTCTGTATTTTCATAATGTGGACATTGTTGCCACCTAGTGGCGTGACGTGGGTACTACAACATTTTTGTTATTTTTTGTAGGTGCATGAAACTAGTTAGAAAGCCGTCTCCAATAAGAACTTTTATAAATAAAATCACATTTTAAAGTGTGCTAAATATTTCAATTCGTAGCGCAGAGAAAACATGCTAACGCTAATTAATTAAGCTAACTCAGGAGCCTGGTTCTGCTTATATTAATATTCAGAGAGGACAACCTTTAAACCTGAGTTAAATACAACCATTCCTAATGATTTAATTTGTATTTTCAAACAGTACAAACACAAATGAGCTCAGTTATGACCTTAATCAAAGCTAACAATCAACTAAACTGCTGTCACCTGTCCAAATAGCTCAAAACAAGCAGAAAAACTGACAAATCTCAGCATAAGCAGGCTAATTTACTGTATTATCCCTTTTTAAAACATAACATTAGCTCAAGTTTTAACAGCAATGAAAAAGAAACCTCACTTGTTGCGTAAATGTGATAGTAATGTTGAGCTTCACGCGTTGAGATGAGCAGAAAGTTGTCAACACTTTGTTGTTTTCCCGCGCAGAGTGCCTGTCAGACCGAGCGCGGGTGAAAATGAGCCCTTTTTCTTACCTGCAGGAAACAGTGATTTCAACTTTGGTGGCAGGAATGGACGCGTTGATCGGATCGAAGTCGCCTATCGACGCCATGTTCATGAAACTGTTGTTCATAGTGTCGGACTCCCAGAGTTTTCCTTCCGTCTCGTGCGGTCCAGCCTCCCTTTCTGTTTGTTTCCTGTTTCACGAGCGAAAGAGGAAGTGAGCCTGCTCGGCGAGAAGTGGAGCAGAAAGGTGCCGCGGAGGAAGGAGACGGAGGGGCTGGCAGCTGTGATGTCACTTTACCTCCTTCTCTCCTCCTCTCCTCCGTCTCTGGCTTTGTTGTTGTGGCTCTTCGCTTCAGATGGGCTCATTTATCCGCGTGGAAACAAGTCACTAAAAAGTGGAAAATAATTGTAAAGTCTTTCCTGTCACGTTTCCTCCTCAATGCTCCCATTCGTTTTTTGATCCAGTTCAGTTGTCTGCACACAATCCAGAGCCGGATTAAACTTTTATCAAGCCCAGGGAACCTCTGGACCAATATCCAGTGTTGCCAGATATCGCGATAGAAACAAGCCCAACTGGCAACCCACCACATTTTAAGCAGTATAATTCAATTCAATTCAAAAATACTTTATTAATCCCAAAGGGAAATTAAGTGTTGTAGCTCATCATTCTGGTTTCATTAGAATTGTTATAGATGCTGATGGATGTGGGGAGGAAGTAGCAGTCCATCTTAGAGCAGATCTGAAGAAACTGGTTGCAGACGTTGATCTGTCTACTTGGACTTGGTGGATTTCTTGGGCAGCAGGACCACCTGAATCTTGGGCAGAACTCCTCCCTTCAGTGATGGTCACTACTCCCAGTAGCTTGTTGAGCTTCTCGTCATTGTGGACAGCCAGCTTCAGGTGTCAGGGGATGATCCTGGTTTCCTTGCAGTCACGAGCCGCGTTTCCCACCAGCTGCAGGATCTTGGCAGTCAGGTACTCAAGCACCTCCACCAGGTAGACAGGGATGCATCCACAGCACCTCCTTTTTATCTCATTTGTGATTCGGGCTGTAGCTGAGGCATTATTTGAGCTTTTGAGATATCCTGATGCATGCTCAATAATCCAGGTAGAAAAATCTAAAAAAGTTCAATCTGGTCCTCTGGACATTCAAAAAAAAAAAAAAAAAGCAAAACAACAAAAATATGTAGAAACGTTTCGTCTCTCTTCCGAGAGACTTCCTCAGTCTGAGGTGCTGTATTTAGCTCAGTCTCTTAAATAGCACCTTCTCAGAGTGGATCAACCAGTTTGCTGCTGACAACCAAAACCAGCTGATCACATGCTCAAGAAGGACCATCAGCCTAACAATGGGTCATTAGCACACTGATGGCTGTTTACTATTCACAGAGGGCTGAGTGAAACTAGCAATCACAGCATTGTAAGAGGGGGACAGTTGAACCCGGAGGCCTCCACCCCTGTTTAATGATGGACGATTTCTTTTCACAAAGATGGCCTCCTTTACTCCTCTCTCAAACCATCGTTCCTCTCTATCCAGGATGTGAACATCTTCATCCTTGAAAGAGTGACCGCTGGCCTGGAGATGAGTGTAGACCGCAGAGTCCTGGCCTGATGATGTTGATCTTCTGTGCTGGGCCATTCTTTGGGCAAGTGGCTGTTTAGTTTCCCCGATGTAAGACTGATCACCCTCCTGACACTGAACAACATACACAACATTACTCTGTTTGTGCCGGGGGACTGGATCTTTGGGATGAACCAGTCTTTGCCGTAATGTATTTTGGGGTTTAAAAGCCACTGGGACGTTATGTTTAGAAAATAAACGTCTCAGTTTCTCTGATACTCCCTCAACATACGGAATGACCACTGGTCTGGGTCTGGGTTCCTCCTTTTCACCTGATGGCTGACTGGAGTCCTGTTTGGGTTTCTTCTCTGCTTTCAGGAAGGCCCAGTTAGGATATCCACATTGCTCTAGAGCCTGTCTTGTGTGGGATTTCTCCTTCTGCCTGGCTCCTGAGTTAGTGGGGATGCTGTCTGCTCTGTGGTACAGAGTCCTGATGACTCCTAACTTGTGCTCCAGAGGGTGATGGGAGTCAAACTGCAAATACTGGTCTGTGTGGGTGGGTTTGTGATGAGTGGGTTGCAATGAAATGTTTCAACAAAATAAAAATCTGTCCATCCTGATTCAACCTTGTTAGAATTGTTTCCAAAAGCAATTGTGACCCATCACAGTTGGATTTGGTCAAAATAAACGAAGCACATTTTCAGATTCCTGGCTACATTTTGGGACATGGATTATCTTGATATCTTGAGTCCAGAGATGTGGCTACATTGGTCTTGCTAATCAGGGTAACCCCTGGAAAATGGGTCTGAATCCTATTAGTGTATGAAGATTTCTTGATGCCAGTGATGATCAAAAATTCCATTTGAATTTCCTAACTGGGGAAAATCATCCTAACTGGCATTGGCAAACACAAAAAACAGCTAAAGTTCAATCATCTTTACAAATATTGAGCTAAAACCTGGTGCTGTAGTAGCTGAGAGTCAACCCCATGATATAATGCAGAGTTCTCACAATCTCCCAGTTATAACTTCTCAGCTTAAAATGGTTTAAAGTCATTTGAAAACATTAGAGTTGGAAAAACTTTACTCTATATGGGAACCAGAAAATTAAAGAACAGCACCCCACAAGGTGGTCCCAGTACAAGTTTTATGTCTTGCTGCCACAATGTAAGCTAATCTGACTTTAACCTTGAGAAAGAAAAGGTATTTTTTTAGGCGTTGGCTCTTACTGAGTCACGTAGTTCTCAACTTGCATGTTCTAGTATTCATTTTTTTCTTGAACCTTTAGATCTAATTATTTATTGCTTGCCTAAAAGGAAGCTCATGTCACAGTATAACGGTGTGTGTGTGGGAGGAGGCGGGATTTAAAGCCACATATCACTTCTGCACAGACTCTGGTTACAAAAACGCAACCTGGCAGCTCCAGTAAACCAGTAAACCAATAAATCAGATCCTAATGGCTTCAATTCACAACAACCAGAGAAGGTGGGGACACATTATTGGGCTCATCTTTGACCCAATTGAGTTTTAAAACAACTAAAACCTGCTTTGGATTTTAATTAAATAATATATAAAACTCCCAGAAATAAATCAGTGGATGTATATCTACTGATTACCTCCAACTGATCTCAGAAGACGCAAAAATGGCTACAACTCAGCCAGTGTTAAAACCGTTCAGCTAAAACTCGGCGTGGTGGTAGCCGAGAGTCTTCCACAACACATACTCTAAGCCCTGACTGTATGAGATCTTTATTTCTTTGCTCTACCATCCTTCAACAAATGCTTTTTATTTTTATCTCTCGCACTTTAATCGGTTCGACTGTTTCTTCGCTGCACGCTGTTAGTGACGTCACTGTCAGGGTAATTTTGACTCCGTCTCCGTAGTTCTCCCGGTTTGTCAGCAGTCGTTGAGGAGATTATTAGTGTTATGATCCCTGATGTCTGCACTGAAACACTTTCAGTCTGCGCTTTCTTTCCTACAAGTCATCCGTGATGATGTGCATTAGGTGTAATTGACTGAAAGGTAGACCTGCTGCTTCCGGAGAGGAGCGTGAGCCCACGATGAACCGCGTTACTGTCCGAACCTAAAGGAAGTGTGCGATCAAGGTGTTTGAACGCACAAGTTTCAGAGCCGTGGGTGAAAAATAATTTGCTGACAAATAGTTTTATGTGTGATTCTTTTAATTTACCTGAAATAAAAATCTTACATGAACCAATTTTAGCTCAAACAGACAAATTGAATCAAGCTCGTTCGTTGCTGTCAGATGGCCCAAATCAGACAACAGTTGGTCCAGTTTCACCAAACAGATCTGTTAGAGCTTGACATATGACATACATAAGCTTTTCACTTATGTTATGTGTAACCATGGCAACAAGGTGTTTTTTTTAACAACCAGGAGCAGTTGATTAACATCTCAAAAGCTCAGATACCTCAGCTACAGCCCCAAATCCCAAATGAGTCGAGAAGGAGGCGCCATGGATGAATTCTCGTCAACCTGGCAGCGGTGCTCCAGTACCTGACAGCAGAGATCATGGATCTGGTGGGAAAATCGGCTCGTGACACCTTCAGCTGTCTGTCCGTGGCGACGAGGAGCTTTCAGGCAGTCCTGCTGCCCAGAAGGACAGAGAGGCCCGCCGCATCGGACAGCAAGCTGGATCCAGGTGGACGGATCAGTATCTGTGGCCAGATTCTTTGGACTAACTGCAGAAGATCCTTCCTGCCCACAGCTATCAGCATCTATAACTCTTGAATGAAACCAGGATGATGAGCTACAACGACACTTAATGTCCCTTTGGGATTAATAAAGTATTTTTGAATTGAATTGAATGTGTCGAGGACGACTCAGCTACTACTACACCAACTTTTGGCCCAATATCCGTTAAAGTATCATCATTTGTGTTGACTAAAGTGGAACAGCTACAGCAGCCATCTTGAATTTGGCTGACCCCAAAAGTTCTTCAGTTGTGGATGTGCATTCAATAATTACTTCCTAAACGTTTCACTAAACTCTCTTCATAGGTTTAGGAGATATTTTGCTAACAGACAGAGGCTGGTGTCCACAGTTAGGATCAAGATTAAGCTCAATGTGTTGCGCTCTGAGTATATATTGGGAATCGTGCTCAGCTGCCGCACCAATTTTTAGCACAAATTGCGAAAACTCACTGAGCTGTAGTGATTTTTAGTTTTCCTCATTTTCGATGGCTGTAACGGCCATCTTGAACTGTGCTGACTCAAAGTTTACCAGCTATAGATGTACTATAATTATTTTTAAGAGTTGTATTAAAATTCATCTAATGGTTCTTGAGATATTCTCACGCTACGAACTAATCAAATACACAGATGTGGGCATAAATCATAATTGCCTTCAGGTGGGCGATAATGTACCCAGTGTTGTGGAACTTTAGCATTATTCTACCTTATATACATCTTATTTTATATTCATATATTTTATTTTTAATTGCACAGTCACTTAGACTTACCGATTAGGCTTTGGCACTTTGTGCCTTGATGGCTCAGAGGAGTAACAAAGCTGGATTAACTTCAGCTAAGAACTGTGATACTTTCAAATATATATATATATAT